ATGTTGCGTAACCACGATTTCTTACGACGACCAACACTCCTTTTGCCGGCAACTTTTCCCATCAAGATGAGTTGGAGGAGATCATATCTGTCATGCCTGAGCACGTGGCCCAGGAACGATACTTTTCTCATCTTGATGGTCTGCAAAAGTTCCCTTTTTTGGTGGACTCTTCGCAGAACCTCCTCGTTTGTCACTCTCTGAGTCCAGCTTATGGCCAACATGCGCCTATAGGCCCACATCTCGAACGCTTCTATACGTTTTCTAAGGTCTTCTTTTATTGTCCGGGCTTCGGATCCGTATAGAAGGATGGGCCAGATATAGCACTTTAGTAGGCAGACGCGCAAAGGTATTTTTATGTTGCGGCAGCAAAAGATTTTACGCATTTTTTCAAATGCATTGCGAGAAGAAGAAGAATATGAAGATTGATTTTCCTTCGCTGCATGTAACTGATAAAATTTTACTTAGTTAAATAATCACTCGTGGAGATGAACTGTTTGAACTAGGTACGGGGTAAATAGGATTTTACGTAGAAAAAGTTTGCACACCCTCGCTTCGAGGATAAAGTAGCGGCCGGTGGCCGGGCACCGCCCAGGGTGGCAACCCTCTCTACTAACACTACGTATGATATTTAAACTCAGGTACATTAATATGCAATTTTCTGTTCTTTCTATTTTAGACAAGCGATCCTCCCACATTTTTACAGTTAGTCTGTCTGAATAGAAAAAGAAATCGAGAAATGTAACATTTTTTGTAAGTAAAGAAAATCCGTTTTATTGTAATCTTCTGTGAATATTTTAGCGGATTTTGAAGGATCGTAACATATATTTTTTTTTAATTATGCCAATTTGTCTAAACTCGTATTGCAAACACTTTATTCATATGTTTTGTTTTTGTTGTTACATAAACACATCTTTATAGTTACCATTATGGCATAGCTCGTAGACGTCTACAACGCAGATAGTTTAAAGTACGTCTATTCGTCATACATAGCAAAGCTTTCTATTCATATTGTAAGGTAAGCTCTCTGCATTTCTTTAATTGTCATTTTTAATTTTGAAAGTACACAATTATACATATATTAAACATCTTTGCATAAATGAATACAAAGAAAATGTCCGATCTTATCGCACGTTTACGCGAAACTGCTTTTATCGCTTTTGAAAGAGATTAAAAAAATATTTGAGCTTTAAAGTGAGAGTTGTAACAAGCTGAGTGTGAACGTGGCCGGGGTGGGTCGACGGGGACGCTCACAATTCGAAATGGCGCCACGCAGTCTGGAAAATGGCGCCGTATTAAACGTGGAACACTTTTATTGCTCACAGATAAAAACAATTAAAACTATTTTTATTTTCAATTATTTATTTAATTAATCTGTTATAGAACGTTAAAACGGTTAAATATTCACGAAATAAAAACTCGTTTTCTTTGTTCAAATAATCCTTTTTCAAAAAGAGGTAAAGGAGTGAATGTACACAATTTTTAATGGCGAAATCTTTTTATAGGGTTGAGAGTAACATAAAACCATTAATAAGCCTCTTACCCGATCCGTCTAAGTCAACAGAGTGGGATGGGGCAGGGGGAGGCGAGCGTTGCCATGACGACGCCCGGGGGCGCGGACCCGAATTTTATCGATTGATACAGCAGCCGGGTACAGGGAGAGCTCTGAGCGAATTTAACGCGATTCAACGCCCGTGTTTGCGTATCTCGACGCTTTAGGAGGGCTTTGACATACAGTAACACGTAGGATCCTGTTTAAATAGCTATTTGCAAACGCCCGCACACCAAATTGCTTCTTACAGTGTGTAAATTTTCATAATGAAGTCTGAATAAGTAATTTTAATTTTTGATTACAAATGACCTTTTTACTACTTAGAAAAGTACTTCAAGTGGTATGATGTCATTATTTAAATTGCCGTATTTCATCATACAGTGAAAATCTTAAAAGCGATTTAAATATTAAAACCCTAAAACAAAACATTCGATATTAAAAACGACTATTATTACAATTTTCAAAGAGCTTATAACCTAAAAGCGTAAATGGCAAATAAAAAATGGAGCAGTAGTTACAGCGCATCGAAAACATAACTCTCGAAGCGATTTTTGACTGAAGATAAAGGGAGCATGGGGTCGCAAGGGTTCCCGCGGAGTCCCCCGCCTTTCAAAACCTCCCCCAGCGAAATGTTACCAGTTGCGCATATTTTTACTCGCATAACAATCCTTTGTCACAGCAACAATTCATGACCGATCATAAATAAATGTGAATCGATGTTTTTATATCATAAGTATCTTTGTGATACATCAAAAACTAATTGAGATCGACTTCAGAGTTCTCTTAACGGTCCGTCTTCAGAGAGAGTGTCTATACTCGCCAATGATTAAAAAAACTAATTTGAAAAAAACGTACAGACAAATTACCAGCTTCTTTTGGGAAGTCGCTTAAAAACATTTATCACATATTTCCTCTTTGTGTACGAAATGATAAGACCTTTCGAAAGATACTTCGAAAGCGACTCATAGTAATTTATTATAGTTAAAAAAAACTTGAAAATTCATAAAGATAAAAACAAAACAAAAAAAAGGAAATAAAGAACTACAAAGAAACAGAGATAATTTTTTGCAAACGACGCCGATGAAATTCGGTAAAAAACATCACTGGGTCCGATTAACATCCTTGAAGATGTCCCTCACAAAAAAAGGAGCAAGAGGGGACCAAAGTCCGGGGACGTGTACTATTGTGGCGGGGGAGTGGGGTGACCACCCTCTCCCTGCACGGTACACAGCTCTCGGCGGTGTCCATAATTTATGCTTTAGAGTGGACCGCGGAAAGAAATGAGCATTAAAAGATAGTAAAAATATTTCAACAGAACAAGACAAAGCTTTCAGCCTATAATTACAGAGTAGTCTTAAAATACTTTATAAAAAAGCATAATCAAGAACGTAACGAGAGAGGTTTAAACTACGATTTAACATTTGTTAGGTTAGGAAAGAAAAGGATGTAAAATTAACATCGGAGTGTTAACTTACTTAGTTATAAAAAATAGATTGTTTCCTAAAACCTAGTCACCCTATAGGAGACCTGGGCAAAGCATCCTACGCCATACACGTCATAATGGAGTATTTAATTTGTATTTGTACGTAGGCGATGTGTTCACCCCGTAGCTAGTGGGGGCGGACCCCGCACTTTTTTACCGTGTAATTATTGGGGTCCTGAGTGCCTCTCGATTGTTTTGATTCAATGTTTCCTTATTTGAGGACATACAAATGAATCAACGAATTGATTCAATTATTTTAATATTTGAACATTTTTATCACGTACTAGCAATCGCTCGCGACTTTGAGTGCGTGGAATTGAAAACACTCACGTAGCTGATATACAATTCCAAATTCATTTAGCTTTGTTCCTAAATACATCAATCCGAGCTTTAGAATCATACTTAGTATTATAAATGACAAAGTGTAGATGGATGGATGTTTGTTAGAGTTTGTAGCCTAAACGGCTGAACGGATTTCGATGAAATTTGGTATAGACGTAGAAGATAGTCTGGAAGAACATAGGTTACTCACTTTTATTTTAAAACCACGCCGACGGATTCGCGGGATAACCCTTAATTTGACGAAGTTTTTATAGCAAAAAATATTACATGTTACCAACACACAAAAATAAAAATGTCACGTATTTCTCTTAATTCATTAGATTTTTTTTATTAGTTGTTTATCACACTGGACACTATCATATTAAGGGTTAAAGCTAGTTTTTTTTAATTGATAACGGACTTTATATTTAACATTAGGTTTAAAACTCAGTGTAACAACACCTTTAGCACTTTTAGACTTAACACGACAGAAGCGTAGGTATTAGGTGTATATTATTCTGAGTAAGCGGCTTAACACGTCGCCGTGTTAGACCGAAGTGAATGGACTTATGTTGCCTTTCGGGACGACTATGCATTATAAATGTTCTGAACTAACACTAGATATTGCATAAAAATTATTGGAATTGTAAATACTAGTTATTTTAATTATTTGAAACTAGCTGTACCCGTGCGACTTCATCCGCATGAAATTATGAACATTTTATTTTATTCTTTACGTCACATTATCAAATACAAATGTCAAAATGACATGACATGATGACAACCTTGCTTCCTTGATGTTGGTAGCAACTTATGGTCTTTTTCCCATATTAGGGTTTTCATCCAAAATATTTACCCCAAAGTTTAATGGCGTTAAAATATATAGCCTAAAGCTTGACGTAAGCGTAGGGCTTTTTATTAAAAATAAATTTATTCAAAAATATGCTGTAATTGCTGACATCTTAGGCAACAAAGAAGTGTGTTCTTCTTCTTAAGTGCCATCTTCTTCCGAAGTTCGGCGATCATTGGGGCGACTTTCGTTCTTGACACCGCGGCTCTGAAAAGTGAAAGGGTGCTCTTTCCACACCACTGGCGTAGGTTTATGAGCCAGGACGTTCTTCTTCGACCACTACGCTACACTTCGCTTTCCGTGGATCTTGCCTTGTACGATGAAGTGTGTGTTTACGCGTTATTATAATAGTATAGATATAGATGATAAGCGTTAGGATTTGGCGACTTTGTATTACAGTTAACAAACGTCGTATAATCTCGACCGGACCTTGGTACTACTAAAATCGGTTTTGAATAAAACACAATGTATGAAAAATCATTATTTTATTTAATAATACATACGATGTCATTTGACACACCATGTGTCACTAACATCTTTAGACCATGCATTTAAAAATAATTAATACTAAAAAATCATGATTTCACTCAACACCCATGTAAAAGTACAATGCCATGATATTTGCCCTTTCAGTTTTAAAACAATTTTAAGAAATTATCACGGCAGTAAAAAACTACGGTAAATCTTGCAATTTTTGTTAGTACTACCTAATAATTTAAAACCATAGGACCTGTCCAACAAAATTGAAAATTGTCTGATAACAATCCAATCTATAAAATATGTGATGGAAATATCGCTTTTTGTTACCTCATCTGACAGTGACATTTTTAAGCTATCTGAGCCTCTATCAGCTAGTTGTGGGACAGGCCTTTAATATTGGAAAGAGTATTATTGAACCACAGGCAGATAGCTACAAAATGTTATCAAAATAAAATATATTTTCTCAATTTTATGTGTCTTTACTACATTGGTGGTATAAATGCAATTAAATACATAATGTTATTATCTAGAAATATTTTGTACTTCCTAGGTCTTTAAATCATTAAAAACTACGTTAATGGTCCCTTACTATTAATTCTTATGTTTTACAAAACTAAATTAGGCCACCGGCATTCGCCGAAACAGCGAAGCGACCCATAGACATCAACGCAGATGCGTTGTCTATTTTTAATCAATGTAGGGGACACGCAGAAAGTGGTTATTATACCCTTTCTAAGCGTTATAGGAAGGGATGGGGATAATATTAGGCCTCCTACACACTACAATTAAAATTCTTAACTTTTACGGAGTTTAACCTAAGTAAGCAATTGTGGTGTAGTCATAATCAACAATTTACTCAAACTGGGGAACTGTTTATCAATAGCGTATTTGAACCACATCGAGTTATCCGCAGCCTCTGCTTGGGAACCTTCAACTTGCACATAAGTGTATGGCGCGAACGCTAAGTGATTACGTAGACTTAACTTGGATTCAGCATTGGGTACAGCTTTGTTCAGCATTTCGACCGTCTGTTTGTTCAGTTTGCTGAACACGAGGCCCTGCTCTCGACCGCTGAGGAAGTTTTCTTGGTATAGACACGATATTATGTCGTTTGTATACGCCTTTAGCGTCTGTCGATGTTCAAAATCATGGGTATTTTTTACACCGTTGTTATTTTTGTTCTTTATTTTTGAGAATATCTTCCTGTACCTATAAAATGGAAAAACACATATTAAACATATTCTTCAGTAATAAAGTTTGTAAATCATATCGTAATTAATGACAACAAACGTTTCTAAAGTGAACTGTGCATATTTTAGACGGGAGGGGGGGGGGTTAACAAAGGCCAGATATCTATACTAATATTAAATAGAGGAAAGATTTATATTTTTGTATTTTATTAATGTGTTGAAATTACTACTGGGCCGATTTAAAAAAAAAATCACCATTAAAAAGCTACAAAATCAAGCTATGTTTCATATTATTTTTTTTAATTCAGGCGGGCGATAGTCTACCTTTATTGTAGTCTAGCCCCCCTACAATTGGACATAACCCGGTATAAGACAAGTATATGATGTAATAATGTACTAACGTAAGTATTAGGTTCGCGCTGCGTTCGAGCGCGGCGGCGGCGGGCGCCA